ATGTATTAAGCACCATATAATATGATTTGGCGTTTTTCTGAGGGGAAAAATGGTTTTGTTTCAGGTCCCAGCAGCATAGGTTAATATGTATATCGATTCGGATATTTGGCCTGGAGAATAGAGGTACCTACGGAGAAAATTTAATACAGGATGGGCTCTCCCTCGTATAGGCAATCCTTACTTTAAACCATCTCAACGATATCGCTCTTGGATTTTGTTTCCAATTATCATCTGTCACGGTCGTCAATTCGCTAGCGGTTAGTTATGGAATGCTAGTTGATTCAAGCCCATCCGCGCGGCTAACATGGCAAGTTCGGAAAGTTCTTAGCCTAGCCAACCCGGCGATGATAGTTATATATATATATCAATATTAGAGATACAATAAACATATTTAGAGTAGTTAAAGCCAGAAGCAAAGAGAAGCCGAGAATATCTAAACACATGGCCAGGAGCCTCAACCAGTTTTTTGTGTTCACATTATATGTCGTTTTAACTTCGCGAATATCATTATCAGCCAGTGCATGAACGCTTGCGCTCTGCAGCATTCATCCATACATCCCAACAAGTTACGCCCATGGGTTCTCCTGAATTGTATTTCTATATGGTTGCGCTCTACGTCTGGTTTTCACTATTTATCGAATAAATTGAATGTTGGATGGCTTCGGGGGCTTCTCTCATCCTCCGCCCCGCATCTTAGTAGACACGATTGTGGATGTCAAACTGTAACTATACACAGGAAACGCCTACCTATGTAGTGTCTAACTCAACTTCTCAATCGACCGACAACCACTTCAATCTTAATCATTCATTACTTCCTACATTTTAACAGATACCGGAAGCCTCATCGTCAAGCTTTTTATATTCTTTCTTCTTCCAGCCGGGAAAGAGTCTGCCGTCAGGAGGGTACAGGGAGTAGTATGTATTACCGGTTAAGAAACGAGGCAAGTTCTCCAATATACACTCATCACAATCATCGGACACTCAATTGCTCTGCTGGTGCCTGCGGGAAGAAAGGCTCGCATAAGTAAGTTGCCCCAGACATTCAGCTTCAGTCGCATATCCATAAACCGGGGCTGGGCTGGCAACTCTGGCAAATTAATTAGCAGGAAATAATATCCATCGATGAT